CCTATAGGCCAGAAAAAAAAATCGAGTTTGTTTAAAGAAAAAAAAAAAAGTCAATGAAATTAGTACCTTACCAATACTCTATCCAGCTAGCTTTTTGTTGAGATTTGAAGGAATGACCCAAAGCTTTATGAGCAAGCAGCAGCTTAGGAACTTTATGCCATGAAACCAGTTTTATAAGAAGCTTTAAAGGGGCTTCTCTAAGTTAAGATAAGCTTTAGAAACATACGTAACTACTACAGAGGATGGAAACAAATAATTTTATCTCAGTAATCTCAGAGTTAATGGCCTGAACTCATTGATCAAGAGACTCAGAATGGCAGGATGGATTAGAAAACTGAACCGAACTTGAACGGAACTGAGAATGGGAATCCTCGCCCATATCCCCCTGCTTCTAGAAACTCAGCAGTCACACCCAGAAGCCACTTCTGGCTGGCTCCAAATGATCTCGTAATCTGTCACGATTCAGAGCCACATGTCCTTTGCTCCCACAAGGGAGCATAACAGGACATACGCCATAACCGTGTCGCCAGACCCAGTGCCAGGCTGTTTCCTTTGGAGCAGGGTGGGTAAGACCCCTCCCCACCCCAGTGGAGCCAACCCTGGCAGCTGAAAACCTCCAGAACTCAACCACCGCCATGCTCACGGCTGCTCTCCACATGCTCCACCAAGCCTCACCCAGAAGTGAATGTATTTCTGGATCGGGTGGCAGCGAATAATAACTCATACCTCACACCACCCGTACTCCAAGAGTACCGCACCACATTTGATAGGGTTTAAACTAGAAGGCAACTAATCTTAGAGGGAAATATTTTTACAGATATGTATAGGCATATACATCACTTAATCACTTATACATATATATGCATATATGTGTATATATGTATATATATATGTATATATATATATATATATATGCACACGAGGCTCAACCTTTAACGGCATGTTAGTGGTCTCTTATAGAAGGGCTTAATAGTTCCTGGGTTAAATACAACAATCTTCACACTATTTCCTCTAAGGAAACTTTTTTGTAGCACTTTCAGCGGTTTTTCATAACAAATAATACAAAATAAATTATTTCGGTTCTGCTTTGGGGCAGGGGTTGGGGTTCAAGATGGTAACATCTGGGGCTGGAATGATAGCACAGCAGGTAGGGTGTTTGCCTTGCACGCAGCCGACCCAGGTTCGATTCCCAGCATCCCATATGCTCCCCTGAACACCGCCAGGAGTAACTCCTGAGTGCAAAGCCAGGAGTAAACCCTGAGCATCACCGGTGTGACCCAAAAAACAAAAATATATAAATAAATAAATAAATAAAAAGATGGAAACTTCTGAGATATGGTGAAGCATTCCTCCACCATATTTTTCAGATGTGTAATAGGGGTGGGATTGGTCTTTGAATATTAAATGTAATCAAATATTGTGAACTACTTTATAAAATTAAAAAAAAACTGAACCAAATTTTTTGCTGCCTACAAGAAACACCTAGAGTAAACACAGGTTAAAAGTCAAAGGCTGGAAAATAATTTTACAAGCAAATAATTCCCTTTAATAAGCAGAAGCAGCCATACTTATATGAGACCATGGAAATTTCAAATTCTAAAAGTCTACAAGGGCAAAAGACTTAATTAGCAAGGGACAGTTCAAAAAGAACTCATACTCCTAAACATATATGCACCTAAGAATGGATCATCAGATTTTTTTAAACAACTGCTAATGGAAAAGTGCTGACAGCAACGTACTAGTAGTTGGAGACTTTTGAGACCTTATTATATACAGAGGATATATCAAACTAGGTAAAATCTCAACAAGGAAGTGCTGACATTGAAGGAAGAAATGAAAGAGATGGACTAATTGTACTAATTTTTGCATCAACTCTTTCTCCCTCTCCAGATCAGACAGTGGAGCTGTCAGATTCGCCTGGGCTATATAACAGAAGCAGTAAAGATTGAATCTATGACCTCATGCTTGTTCTTGGAACGTTAAGCCACTTTACCATCTTCCAGGCCCTTCAAATCAGGGATTTTAAACAGAAGACCTGGCACCTCAATGCATACAGACATCATGGAGCTTTGAATTTGGGACCTCAAAGGCCTCTTAAGCCTCCAAGCCACCTTCTAAGCCAGCATCAGTTTGTTAAAGTGTGCAGGTGTGCAGGCATAAAGCCTTTTCGTTCTCACCACACCTATGGAAGTTCATTATCATTTTCCCACTTGCAAATGATTAAAATTCGGTACAGAGATAGATGAGGGTAGAGCAAGCAGGTCTCCACCCCTTGCCCTTCTATTCCCAAGTCTATTCCCATCGTTTCCCATCTTACTGATGTTTTTATTGCTCTGTGGCCCTGTGAAAGGCAGCTAGTTTTCTCAATCACTCATGCCAGAGTGGATTAATGTTGACTTATCAAGAGATGACTGGGTTAAGCACATGAAACACAACTCCTGGCTAAATTCTCAGAACATTTTCTTGACTCACTCGGGCACAATTTGTTTATTTCCAGTTGTTTCCTTCCTCTTATCAAGCACTGACTTATTGTGGTCTGCATTGTCATGAAGTGCCCCAAGCATTCAGCCTCCATTTCCAATTCCAAAGTTCATTTCTCCTTAGTTACTGGCCAACTTAGGCTAGATTTTAAAGAGTGGGACAGTTTATGCCAACTGTATCTCCAAATAATGTTCAAAAGTAGAGTTTTATTTTATTTTTGATAATTCAAGACTTTTATCTAGGGGGGAAAGCATAACTTCCTTGACACTTCAAACAGATAAATTAATTTCCAGGCTGGAAAGCAGCCAAATATCTTAATTGCCCTGCTTGCTGAATAATATATTTCATGTGAAAGAACGATTCCAGACACAAGAGGATATGATAAAAGGGCATTTGAACTCTACAAATGATATACAGTATGTCCCTGTGTACGAAACTCTGATGAATTTCTAGATAAAAGAGAAAGATTTTGTGCTCAGTTGAGCTTCTACTTTGCATTTCAGTACATAGATTGTTCTAGCAAGATGTTAGCAGGAGGCTGGGCATGCAGTAACTCCATAAGAAATACTTCTAGTTGCTGAGTTCCCCTCCCCAATATTAGTGTTTATGTGAATGCTAGGATTGGACACAACCTGCTCTGTGCCTGGTATCCTTTGCCTGACAAGGTTCAGATCAAACTTGTGCTTGTTTTATGCTGACATTTGTGATCCAGTGTCGCTGCTCTCTCTGTAGTCCCAAGACATTCATCCACTTTTCTTCCCTAGATCATTTGTGCCCTCCAAACTCTGTGCAGCACCATTGAAAACCTGGCCCAGCATCCCAGAAGAACCGCAGGCCATAGTGCTAGTGTTAGGAAGCAGCACAGTCTTTATTGTTTTTCCTTCTCAATTGACTTTTCTTTAAAAACCAAACTATCCAGTCCTCAAGGAAACAAAAGCAACAATATCAAAATGGCTGAATAGAACTCCGAGGTGTTTCAAACACCCGGACCATTTTAATAATATTACTTGTACATATTCTAAACAGAATGCTATGACCATCTTTTTAAAAAGACAAAAAAAAGATGAAAAATTCAATGTTTCATTCAAATTAGGTATATTTCTTCCAGCTGTCTCTGTGTGTTTCTACGCTATCTAGTTTCTATATATCTAGACAGTTTCCACACTTTCCTAACAATTAATTTTATTGCAAACAAGGACTCATCTCAGTACACTCAGCTCCCTGTTTAAACTGCTAGATTAGACCTCCAAGCTGTACTCAGAGTTATCCTTAGAAAACATGCTTTAGGGGCCAGAGCCATTTTACAGCAGATAAGATGCTTGCTTTGCATGTGGCCAACTCAAGTGTAATCTCTAGTACCAGGAGCCCTGCTAAGAGTGAGCTTTGAGCACCCCAGTGTGTGATCCTGAGCCCAAAAAGAAGAAAGGACAATGTATGCTTTAATGGGAATGGGGGAGAGGTGGAGGACTCTTCATTGTCTTTAAGAAGTTATACTGCAGTAGCTTTGGAAAGATCTAGAAGGAAAAGTCAGGGCCTCAGCACCTTTGTGCATTATGTCATGCACATTCCTTTGTATAAAATTCAGAAAAAAATGTATTAGAAACAAGCTTTATGGTAGGTTGAGAATAATAAATGAAAATCTTCAAGAAATGTTACCTGCATTTGAAATAAACTAGGCTCTCATCCAGGGTCCCCTGGGGTTGGCAACACTTCAGGATTTCAACCTTCTTTACTTAAAAAGGATTCTCTGTTTTCATACTTCACATTCTTTTAGCTTCACTGGTGCTTGTATACATTCATATTCACAAGTTTCCTGAGTTACTATTTTTCAAAAAAAAAAAAGTTGGTTGTCCTCTGTGAGTTATCAAATGTTTATCACGTTCATGTAAAGTTACACACCCACTGAAAAACATATGTGGAACCAGAGAGAGAGTACTGCAGGCAGGATGGTTGCCTTGCATATAACCAACCAGGGGTTCAATCCCCAGTACCCCAACTGATTCCTTGAGTACCACCAGGAACTGTCCCTGAGCACAGAGACAGGAGGAAGCCCTAAGCACCACTGGGTGTAGTTCAAAACCAAAACCAAAACATACCATGTGTATTGGCCCAGGGCAACTCAAGGGTCAGCTCAATTCCCAAAACCCATGGGCCACTGAGCTTTGCCTGGAACATGCCCACGTATCAGGAGTGGGGCCTAAAAAACTAAGAAGGAAAAAGAAGAAACATCTGTATGTGCCGACGTGTGTCAGTCATCAGAGGAATGAATCTGCTCTGGACCGTTGTGTTTCCCCTTTCACAAGGGACTTAAGTGATAAACTTTCACGTGACGACTATAGGGAGCTCTTTTTCAACATCTAGTTCTAAGAAACACTTTGCGAGACCCCTTAGTGTGACTTCGGGCAATTTCTAAAGCAGATGATGGGATTAGGAAGGGTTGGCAACTACAAATGGTAAGGGAGGGGGTGTCTATCTATTTTTCATGAAGTTATAATGAACAAGCTGTCTACCTCCTACAGGTTCAACCTCTGGGAATGAAGACCAGCCTTCCTTGAAGGCATCTCTGCCTTCCAAAGATGCACCCAAGGGGTCCAGTCGAATGACCCCTCCAGCGTCCTCCAATGTGACAACACCCCGCAGGAGTTTGCTTCCAGCCCCAAAATCCATGTCCACACCTGCTGGTAAGTCTCTCTGCCTTGAAATCCTCCGAGGACAAGTGCCCTTTATGCCTTCAAAGGTCTTTGAAAACCCCTTTGTGCAGCAGATGAGTTGCAGTTGGCATTAAAAATTAATATTAATAATACTGCTTTCAAGGCACACAGATATATCCATCTGCTTAAATTCTCACAAATTCCTCTCCCTCCTTTATGGAGTCTACTGACATTACATGGAATCAGTTACCAAAACACGAAGAGTTCAGCTATTTTAGTCAGGTTGACACTTGGCTCCAGAAAGTGGAGGAGGCAATCAGTGGAAAGCCTCTCAGGAGCTCCAGGCTGCTCCTGGGGAATCAGTGCCACAGCTCCGCACAGACATGCTGCTTCCACAATAGTCCAGGAGTCCTTTCCCGCCATGGGGATCCAGCTCAAGAATGCTGGAGGCCAGGGCTCAGCAGCTACTGTGGAGGGGCCACACTGTACCTGATAAACCCAGGCCAGCAAAACAGGTCCCTTCCCCTTCCAGATGCATGACGCTCGTGAGCACAGGAGATTTAGTTGATGCAAGTGTGACAAGGGAAAGCGCCTGTCTGCAGAACTGGTCAGTGAGCCCACTCACAGCCCTACCTCACTCTCTCCACTCCATCTCACACGAGAGCATCTATTTCCCTTCAGAGATACCCAGCATGTAGCTCTTAGCTTTGCCACTATACGAAGGCACAAGAAGAAGAAGGCATGGTGAACCCCTGTCCACTGTGGATGCTCCCCTTCATTGCTTCATTGTTAATTATCCTTCCTGTTTTTTATCTATGTTCATGTGGTCACACAGCAAACTTGTATACAGACGCACATACGAGCTTAGATGCATTTCTATAATTGGACTATCATTTCCCTATTTTTCTATATGTTGCTTTTAAAGACCATCCCTGAAAATACTTTCAAGACAGTAGAGCACATCCTCCTTGTCAGTGAGTACCTGTGTGGCTCATCCATGATCTACCTATTCAACCGCACCACCACTGAGGGACTTGGACTTTGTGACTGTCTTTGGCTCTGTGCACAGTGCTGCAAGAGAGGTCTGGAGCGGGCGATTTTCCTCCTTATGGGATTGATTCCTCAGTGCAGGACCACTATGCTCAATGCGAGGATATTGCTAGATCTTTTCTTAGAGAGGTCACAATTCTTCACATTTCTACCCATATTCCTGAAATAGGAATTAGGCAATATACTTCAGGGGCTAAGGCACTTGTATTGAGTATGGTCAATCCCATTTTGATCTGCAGCACCACATATGGTCCCCTGAGCAGGAATATGCCTTAGGCCAACAGCCAGTGTATCCCAGAATTGTTGGGAGAAATGGTGAAGCTGACTAGCCTCTAGATTTAACTACTAATTAGTAGAAACAGAAAGAGAAGTATTTTAAATAAGTCTGCATAAGTAGAATTAGCAAAGCTCTGGGAAATTGACTGGTTAAATCACAACTAGCATCAATTACAAAACATTATTTTGAAAAGCATACATCAAACAAATAATTTGGGATGGAAGGAGATGGATAGGGAGCCTGTAAATTATTAAAGACCAAGACATGCCCACCAGTTGCCCACTGTGAAACTTATTTTTAAATTAAAGACATCATAAAGAATTTTTAGAAAATAACTAAAGAAGTGTAAACATTAACTATCATTGAGATTAAGAAATTGTTAATATTTGAGTTTTTGAGTTTTATGTTATAAATACACATATGTGAAATGATGTGCTTTCAGGGATTAGTGTAAAGATAATTGAATTATTTATTCTCATCACTTAATCACTTAACTTTCCGTTAATCGTTGATTTGCTCGAGCGGGCGCCGGTAATGTCTCTATTTGTACCTGTCGCGTGCTAGTGTAGCCCAATGGCGTCTGTTCACTCTAGGAATGTGAAGAGCCTCAAACCGATTGTTCATGATCTTGATGAAGAAGTCTGACCATCTGGTAGGTGGACGGCCACGCGGTCTTTTGACATCCCGTGGAATCCAGTCAGTAACAGCTCTAGTTCAGCAGTCATCTTTAAATCTCATTACGTGACCAGCCCATCTGATTTTTGACACCTTGGCAAACAAGACAGCGTCCCTGATTCTTGATCGTTGACGGATGTCAGAACTCCGGATTCTTTCTCTCATTTGAGTGAAACGTGATATTCCAAGCATAGCTCTTTCAATTCTTCTTTGGGAGACCTGAATAGCGTTCTCATCCTGTTTGCGTAGGGCCCAGGTCTCTGAGGCATATGTTAATGCAAGAAGGACAGTGGAATCAAAGAGATGTGCCCAGAGCCGGAGGTTCTTTGTCCTCTTAGCTATTTCTTCGACGCTCTTGAAGGCGTTCCAAGCCGCTCTCTTCCTCCTGCACAGCTCGGGTGCCAGGTCATTTGTCATTTTGACTTCTCGACCGAGGTACACATAGCTGTTGCAATCGGAGATGGTCGTTCCATTGAGAGAGAATGGGGCGTCAGGAACGAGGCTGTTTCTCATAAACATTGTCTTTGTAAGATTCAGCTGTAGTCCTACCTTTCCACACTCACGGTCAAAGTTGGCCAGCATTTGTGCCACTTGGCTGATGTTTGGTGTTATTAAAACAATGTCATCAGCAAAGCGGAGGTGGTGTAGTTGCCGACCATCTATCTTCACTCCCATTCCTTCCCATACCAGTCGTTGCATGATGTTCTTGAGGTTGGCACTGAAGAGTTTCAGTGAAATGGTGTCACCCTGCCGCACCCTTCTTTTGATATCAATGATTACTTCTTTGTAGAATGGTGAGATCCTGGTAGTGAATCTGCAATACAGCTCACGGAGGATCTTGATGTATTGGACTTGAATGCCCTGATTGACTAGGGCTTCAATGACCGCTTCCGTCTCAACAGAATCAAAGGCCTTCTTTAAATCAATGAACGTTAGACAGAGCGGCATCTTGAACTCCCGAGAAACCTCAGTGAGCTTGGTTATCGTGTGGATATGGTCGATGGTGCTGAATCCTTTGCGGAACCCGGCTTGCTCGCATGGTTGTCCTTCATCTAGTGTTCTGCCAATCCTATTTAGGACGACTCGAGTGAATAGCTTATAGATGACAGACAATAGGCAGATCGGGCAATAGTTGCCAATGTCATGGATGTCTCCCTTCTTTAACAGTAGTACGGTCCTGCTGGTTTTCCATTGGGATGGAACCTTGCATTTAGACAGGTAGTGTGTGAAGAGCCGAGCCAGTGTATTGATGACTTACTGACGGCAGGTTCTTCAGGTGTTCAGATCTGACCTTGTCTGGGCCAGGTGCTGTTCATTTCTTAACCGATGAAATGGCGTGTCGAATTTCGGAAGGGAGAACGATGGGAACGACATATCCATCCTGTGGAATTTGGTATGTCGGCAAGTGGACATGGCTATCGAAAAGATTTGAGTAGAAGTCATGGATAATCTTCTCCATTGCCGTTCTGGAGGATGTGATAGATCCATCAGGACCTCAGAGGGCAGTCATCTTGGTCTTGTAGTTGGCGAAGGACAGGCGGACGTTATGAATACTTTTCCTGGCTTCTGCCGCATCTACCAGCACTTCTTCTCTTCTCTCTTTGAGGTCTTCCTTGATCGCATCTCTGCACTGCTTTGCGAGCTCGGACGTTAGCTTGCGGTTTTCTGAGGCATGTGCCAAACCACGTTGGTGAATAAGCTCAAGAGTTTTTGAAGACAGGCGTTTTTTTTTGTGGCTATCTCTCTCTTGGCGTTCCTCGCACAATCATGGAGGTGCTGAACCAGTTGATCGTATTCCTCGTCAATATTGTCAACAATGGCATCTTCCCATGTTGCCGCAATAGTGCCAAAGAGCTCCCAGTTGGTGGTCGTTCTGGGAGTTCTCTTTTTAAACTTTGCAGCCCTTTCTCCCCGCTCTGTGAAGTAGAATTTTGCACGAAGGAGACGGTGGTCCGATCCCATTCGGAATTTTGGGACAACAGCGACATTGGTCAGGCAAAACCGTCGATTGAATATTATGTGGTCTATTTCGTTGTGGAATCGTCCACCGGGAGACTCCCATGTCCAACGTTTCGATTCAGCCTTCTGGAACTGTGAGTTACCATGGATGGTCTTGGTCGACATGATGAACTCAGACAGTCTCTCACCCTGTTCGTTCCATTCTAGGCCATGGGTCCCGATGTGAAGTTCTTCAGCTGATCTTCTCGGTCCTATCTTGGCATTAAAATCACCCACAATGATCTTGTAGAAGGTGTGGTCTTCCTTATAGAACTTCTCCAGCTCCATGTAGAACTTCTCAATTTCTCTTTCATCATAATGAGATGTTGGTGTGTAGACGACGAAGATAGAAACTGCCAGCAGTGAGCCACATCTATTCAAATGTAAACGTCCAATTCAGGTTGTTAGGCATTCGAATGAATCAATGCTCATGGCCAAGTTTGTGTTGACAAGGACACTGATGCCTCCAACACCTCTTTTATCGCATGTTCCGAGGAACAATTCTTCTCCAGTGTCGAAAACAGCATGGTGAGATTCTTGCCTTCTTGTCTCGGTCAGACCAATGATGTCGTACTTGATCATTCGCGCTTGTACCATCAGGTCCTCGATGGATGCATCTGATGCTAGCGTACGTGCATTGAAAGTACAGATGATCATTTTTGTCTTCCTTCGTTGTGGCAGCCTAGTTTGGCCTTGAGATTTTATCGGCCTCTCTTTTCTCATCCTTCTCAGTGCTGGCATGTTGGTGAACCCTTCAGGGTCAGGTGAATGAGACCCATTGTCATTACTGGTTTTGGCATATTGAATACACAACGGATAGCTTGCCAGGCTCTGCCGTGTGGGTGGAATACTCTCGGTAGCTTGCCAGTCTTTCCGAGAGGGTTAGAGGCTTTTGGGGCGACCTCTCGTCGCCCTCGTAGGTGCTACCATATTTGAACCCTATCAAATATGGTACGGCAATTCGGAAGATGAGTATTTAGTGTCTTATGATGTGTCATTATTTATGCTCATAATTCAGAATGATGACAAG